TCCGATGTCAAATTACTGGAATGCTTCCCTTGTGAAGTCATGCGACCAGCAACATTTTTGCTGTCCGCATTCTCCAGCAAAATTCCTACGGATACCTCAATTCGTGACTCACCATTCTATAATATGTCTCCGCGCATAGAAGTTTCTCTGTGCCAAGTATTACGCCATAAAGGTAACACTGCTCTAGGTTATATGAATCTTACGTTTGACCTTATCTAGGGGTCATAATAATACGTGGTGTACGATATATTCATTCAGTTTGTATTGGAAACACCAAGACTTAACAAAGCAAGCTTCTTAGTAAGTATCGGATTTCTATAAAACATACGTAGCTACTCCGTAAAAACATGTTCAAAATTAACAACAATTTGGATATTTTGTGTCTTCATAGCACAACGAGAATGGGGGCGAAACCTCATAACAAAAGTAAAACTTAAAAAAGAAAGAATTCTCTAGAAAAAATCGTCAAACGGGATCAGATTTGCGCCGATCAAAAGCAGCTAAGAAATTAGTGACGACGCCGATAGACAGAGGCAGACAGACTGAGGGTTTGACTAACTACAAATAAACTACACGTGAAACTCAAAAACAAGTGAGTTAATACAAAACAATAGCATAACCTACATGAGAAGAACGCACAGTCAACGCAAGTCAGGATCAACAAACACCTCAGACTTTGAACACAGCAAATTTGTAACTAAGAAGACGGTACTTACAGTAAGTGTTGTGTCCACCATGCATTCGACGGCATACGGCCGCAACGTCGTGGAACACGAGCTTCCATACTTCGTAACATGTCTGCATCGATGGTCACTACAGAAAGATGAAATTTTCTTGTCGAGTCTTTCACGTTAGTTGGCGAATCAAATGGAAACAATTTCTTCAGGTGTCCTGAAAGTAAGAAAAAGGTAGTTCAGGCCCAGCCAAGGATCAAATAGGCATCACACTATTTGCCCAATTTCCTTATCCTTTCTTCCGAATGTCTTAGTTCCACGTAACGACTGCACAGCACAACAGAAAAAATACTACTAATGTGCGTTGAGCTTTGGTCACTGTCGACCGTGGTATCGCGTAATGTCCGTCACGTCCGATGACGCTTGGACCCCTCACAGCCCCATTTCACGGTTACGAAATAATTCCTTTTAGAGAATTCTTCCTCTTATGAGGTCTTGTATAAATTCCTCTTTAATTACGGGCAATTTTCTCACACACCCACTAAATCTTACCTCATTAATTAATAATTACGGCTACTTAGCAGGAAAATATGTAGTTTATTTGTATGGCACAGAATAAAATTTACGAAGGCATAATACTTTTATAAAATTATTTTTAAAATTACTCAACTATCACGATCTCAAAGATATGCACTCAATTAATTCCACTACAAAATATTAACTAATATAGTACTTACTCCATGAAGCCGAGTCCTTCCTGAGAAGCCAAAAGTTGCTCAGCCAATCAAGAACTATCCAAAAATCTATGGAACCCTAAGGTTCATTACCGTGTTCACAAAAGCCCACCACTGGTCCCTATCCCGAGCCATATGAATCCAGCCTACACCAAATCATCCTATTTCTCTAAGATCCATTTTAATATTATCCTTCGACCTACGTCTACGTCTTCGTAGTTGTTTATATCCTTCTGGTTTGCACACCAAAACCATGAATGCATGCGGTCTACATACCATAGCAACTCCTTCGCGTAAAATGATAAATTGGTTACGAAATGTTACACATTAATAATATGATATAAACTTTTAAGTACACGATCATGGCGAAGGGTGGCGAGGAGAGGAGAAGAAGATCTTACAAAAGCGAGTTTAACTCCTCCACAACCAAAGTACAGACACGGACATTAACACATTCTAATAGTTGATGTAACTAAAACCTATTCTGAATAAGAAACTTCTCAGTCACTGGTGTTTTGGACAATTATTTTTTGCTTGGATTCCGGTGGGGATATTTCGGAGCGACGGCGGGCCAGAGAATCTGACGAGAAAAATTCAATCCTTCAAATACGTGTTGAAGATTCATCATTTATTATTCATGGATTAACACAGTTTATAACTAAATACAAACGACTAATTACAGCAATCGTAATTGTAGCTAAATGGTACACTAAATAGCAAGATTACCTTCAATGTTATCCAAGACCTAGAAGCAGAGGGTCATCGCATATTTTAAAAGCACCAAGGTAGCCGGTGAGGATTCAACTGCTTACCCCCTGAATAAACGTGCAAGTCATTATCGATACGACAACCTCCTCGATAATCCAAACTCTTAGTGTTTCGTCGTGAAATTCGGAAGGGCACGTGTTTTCAGGGTTCACGAAAGTCTTGTCTTGGTGATGAGTAGGCTCGCGGTTTCGCTCTGCCGGGTGAGGCGAATGGCTTGAGAGCAAGACCGCTCCCCTCTAATTAAATAACTAATTAAGCAGTCGTAACTATCTAAGTAACTTAACTAACAAACTGCATGGCACACCGTCTTCCATAGTTGGTATTCAGTTGATGATGAACCGCCATGTTGTTTTTTTAAGCCTGAGTTTCATCCCGCTCATTAAAAGTCCGCCACAATCCCTTATCCTGCAGCAGGGTAAACAATTTCTCTCCGTGTCGCTTTCAAATAATTCTCCCGATCTCTCAGCTGGTTTCTCCATGACTTTTCACAATTAAAATGTTAAATTATTTATTAGCATAATGCATGCTACATACCCATTAGTCTACTTTTTTAAAATAAATCGCTTTAAAAGAATCAATCTCTCCCTGACACCATTTTATCCAGTTTTCCCCACCCACATTTCAATGGCCTCTTGTTCTTATGTATGTTTCCTTGCATTAACTGTTACAAACAATTACGCACATCCTCCTAACCCCGAAATATTTTAACATTTATTAAGGAATCCAGCGATGAACTTTATGTGATCCTCTATTCTGGCACTCGTTCGCTGGCCAGTTCTTTACGCGAATGAAGAGAGCAAGTAATGTCATCATTTCGACCAAGTTTTCCACCGATTTCTTGCAACTTTGTATAACTCACTGCTTATTACCTTCATTTACCTGATATCACATTGTAAACATAATTATGCTGTAATTTTCTTTCAGTGTTAACTCTTTGAAGCCTCACGTTAACCTAAATAATAATTAAGTATTTATCTCCTACCTACGCGTCTCTATTAAAATGATCGACTCATTAATGCTATATAAAGATATTATATTTCATAAGATAATATAGTTGCGTCATATTGTGAAATTTAATTAATTATTCGGATTTGTCCGTCTAATCACAATTCATATTTAAAATTTACAATTAAGATAATTAAAATATCATTTTATGTTCCTCATCGAACAATCGATTTACAATTGGAACATCTTTTTACAACATGTTTCGGTTTCTATATAAACCATCTTCAGGTGTAAAAGTTAAAATTATAAACTTAAAACTTAATTACAATTTCTGATATGCAACTTTTTGGTGATGTTCACTTCCAGATTCATTTTTATATTGGAGTGAATGTTTTTGGAGTGAATGTCTTTTGATGTTCTACATGATCAGTAGTGAACCACATCTGTTCGGATACGTTAGTACTTCCAGACACATTAAGATGTATCTACACTCTCATCTTTGGCCGATATAGAACATCAAAAAACATTCACTCCAAAAACATTCACTCCAATATAAAAATGAATCTGGAAGTGAACATCACCAAAAATGTTGCATATCAGAAATTGTAATTAAGTTTTAAGTTTATAATTTTAACTTTTACACCTGAAGATGGTTTATATAGAAACCGAAACATGTTGTAAAAAGATGTTCCAATTGTAAATCGATTGTTCGATGAGGAACATAAAATGATATTTTAATTATCTTAATTGTAAATTTTAAATATGAATTGTGATTAGACGGACAAAATCCGAATAATTAATTATATTTCATCTAAAAATCATACGAGACCCATAAACACATTCAGTAAAAAATATAATGTAGAATTACTGAATGTTAAAGTCGATGTGTCATTACTGTTTAGGTGAAATATTATCCATCAGAAAACTGTTTCAAAAAATAACTGAAAGGTATAATCCAAGAGTATTTTATGCTGTGGACAAATTTAAAGAATCAAGGGAGTCTTTTTAAAAGGAAATTTATTAAGTTCAACTTCAGGGACACACGAGGATGGAAGATCAAGGCACCAAACCGCTCTGATACGTTGTGAACATTTTACACCACGGCACGGCGCCACAATCAGAACACTACAATTCACAACTCTTACCGTGATCTCCAAAAGCTAAATAACTTAACTAGACAGATTCGGAGATGCAATATGCAGAATGGCGGACAGGAAAATCTCTCAATTATGTATCAATGTTAAGCTCTTCGTGGAAGGAACGCATTAATACAGGATGGACTTGCGTATACAGCCTCGTTCTCGGCGAAATTGCTGTGGCTTCGAATACACAAGAAGAATTTTGCAAGGCTGGAGAGACAGCTTTAGGAAAGGGCAGGACACTTTGACAACAGAACCATTAGATGAACGGTGAACAAATATATAAACTATATTACAAATATATATATCAGATTTAGTTTGATTTTCACTACGAACAGCCATTTTTAATAAATATTAGCCAACCGACCGAGTAATAAGAAACGGTGTGTTTTATTTCAGGTAAGAACATAACTTAAATAGTATTTAAATTGGATTATCCTTCATGGACTTCGCAGTGCTGTGCTCTCTTGTCTCTTATAATACATTCATTTTTATTATTTGGAAATTTACCATCGACTGAGGAACGGTATCAAAGATGTATTACGATTTGAAAATTTTGCTGCAGAAATCGGAAAACAAGAAGTTTTAGATTTGATAAATATATAAACCATAAACACATAATAAAGGATGAGAAAATTTAATCAGGGTTTGATATCGAAATATAGATCGTGAGGTCATTTATGTGCATCGTACTTGGATGATTGTCATTTGATGACTTGGAACAAAGTCACGTGTTTTTTTTGTAAATACTTCGCACTCACAAAAAAAAAATTAAAATAGAGAAATTATTGGTTACTTCTGCCATAACACTTTGCCAATTTATTTAAAATATCGTACGAGTGGTCCATAAGAAGCTCCGTAGATCACTCTGACTTTGTTTTACTTCAAGAAGTGTCCTTATTTATCATGTACCTAATAAAATTCGTTTTTGAAGAATTTTATCTAGCATAAATATGAAACTCAATGCGTTCTTACAGATGTAATTAGTGTAGACCTATTCCCAGTCTACATTTAACTCAACGAGGGTAAAGTAGGAAGGAACATTAAGGGTGTCTTTTACCTTACCACCCAACCCAATATTAGATTTATGAGAGGACGACTTGCAGCAATGTTCACCTCTTGAGCGCCTAATTAAATATGAGGGGGAGACATTATGCACTGTACTGCTATGTCAACAGCAGAGCTGTCTGAAGTCTAAAGGCTCTGAAAAGTGCGTAAGAATATGTAAAATTGCAACTGCTTGTATTCCAACATGGAGTAAACACTTCGCATTTCTATTATCACATTCACTGCCGCTGAGAATGTAAATTAATACAGCCGACGGCACAAAATTTATTGTTCATATTTTATAGCAGTAAATAAGTTATGGGGTGACAGCAAGATTTCTGGGCAGAACTCATAAAGCATATTTTTCTAGTCATACAAATCGCTTCGCTCGCAACCAGCTGTTAATGTTAGATTTTTGGAAAATGTGAATTTATAATCTGCCAATGAAATGCATTATATATGAGATGATAATGTTGCGTCATATTGTGATGATTATAATTGTTTAATTTTAACCGTCTAATCACAATAAAATATTTTATTAAATATTAAAATATTATTACTACAATTAACATTTAATATTTTAA